CCCTTGTATGCAAGGATGACCAACAATTAAATGCTTGTAGATGCAATGAAAACAATGCTGTGGGAGAAAGGAAGAGATGGCCATTTATTGAGTGCCTACGGAGTGCCAGGAACATGAGACATTTTATCTCACTGAATTCTCAAAAAAACAACATTTTTTAAATGTCTTGACTACCCACTACAATGATAGTATAGTCTCACATTCAAAAAAATGAATCCAGCCGAAACCGGTTTGGCTCAGTGGATAGAGCGTCGCCTGCGGACTGAAAGGTCCCAGGTTCGATTCCGGTCAAGGGCATGTACCTGGGTTGCGGGCACATCCCCAGTAGGAGATGTGCAGGAGGCAGCTGATCGATGTTTCTCTCTCATACCTCACAGCATTTTAATGAGGATTAACATATGTAAAATGCTTGAAACAAAGCCTGGCTCCATGTGTGTGTTGTTATTACTGTGTGCAGTGGATCTACCTTATGGGCAGTATATTGTGTCCACTTTACAAATAAGGACAGGGAAGCTTATTGAACTGATATAACTTGTCAGGGGACACACAGCTTGTGCAGGACAAAGAGAGATTTGGAAGAGGGCTATATACAGTTCCCAAGAGCTTTCCATCACCCACCAAAGCCAAAATGTATTTTTACTACTGGGTTTCTGTCCCTCAAAGAGATTGCAGACAGTCACACAGGAAGGGCTGTGTAAGTGTCTCATCGGAAAGAGTACTGAAGCCCTGGCTGGTGTGGCTCAGTTGGTTGGGCGTCATCCTCGGCCGGTTGGATTCCCAGTAGGGCACATGCACAAGTTGCAGACTGGATCCCAAGATAGGGGTGTGCAAGAAGCAGCAGATCGCTCTCACATGGATGTTTCTCTCTCCCTCTCCCTTCCTCTCTCTAAAAGTCAATTTTTAAAAATAAAATAAATATATTATTGAAAATATTCATCCTTCAACTAATAAACCCTGTGGAAGGCAGGATGGTTTAGGAAGGCAGCTGGGTCAAGTGTTCTTTGGGCTTAGGCAAGAACCTGAAGGTAAGAAATGGTTCCCTGGAAAACAAAGGATTAGTCACAGGAAATGGTGATGGGAGGAGGGTGGAAGGCAAAGAAGGGAATTTTGATGGAAGCTAGGAGTTTATCCAGGACTAAGACCAGGAGGGAAACGATAAAGGCTGGGATTTCTGGAGGCTGCGTATCTGGATGGTGGAGCTCAGATAGGAGCCTGGGTAAGGAAGGGATGAGTCCAGAAGGGCAAGGATGGGCCATAGTGACTCCAGACAAGGGACAAGCAGGGGGCTTTTTAGACCCTTTGGAGTCTTTACTTCCTTTCACACTTTCCTTTCAGCTGCAAAGTAAACTGGGAGCCTCAGAGGATGGAACAAAAAGAAGACGAAGGGGCTGGTAGTCTAGGAGTCGTGCTCCTGAGAGAAGTGAGTAAACAGCGCACAGCCCTGGGGCGTGGGAGCCTCCCTTGTGCTGTGTGCTCTGGATAGAGAAAGCCAATGAGGTAGAGAGCAAGACAAGTGCCCACGTAAATTAGATTTTTAGGCTGCATTTATCTACACAACTGGGGGTGAGGGGGGATAGAGGAGGGTGGCTGAATTTTCTGGAAACTGATTTCCACTTAGTTTTGCTGGATTGTTTTGCCCTAGAAGTCAACGGAGAGCCTTACTAGGTCCTTTTTCCTGAACGAGATAGGTTTGTCCCAGACTCTGAGGAAACCCCACAGCAGGAGGAGGAAAGGGTCATTGATTGGCCCTGGGGAATAAAAGCGGCCTAAGTGCCCACTGAAGGAAAGGCTAGCTACCAAAATTCAAGGGAAATTATGGGAATATTCGCATTGCACACATCACATCGTTCGCTTTAGTGTTTCAACTCAGGATAGAATCGAATTTGTATTTTAACAGCAAATTAATTATAAAAACAAATATGCTCTAATAAATTCCTTATGAACATATCCTTGGAGTTAAGGTTCATCTGGTGGTTTTTTGTTTGTTTTTTTCCTTTAACATGCGATAGGATGGCTTAAAAAATCTTAACACCAAGGCAAATTCAGCCCTTGGCATGCTTGTGGAGGCGCAGAGGAAGACTCGAACAAGGTGACCAGTGTCCTCCAGGCGGAACCGCACGCGGTAAGGACTTGACGAGGGAAGAGGGTAGAGGAGGACCTCCAATATCAGCGAGGGCTATCAGGACGTTCTACTAATAAACGACTTTTTCGCTGTCCACACTATAATTGGTTTACAGCCTTTCTTGTTTATTTATCCATAAGAGCTGCTGTTAAATGGCTCGGGAAGGCCGTGCTCGGCTAATGGCTCTGTGACGCTCTGGGCCAGTGGGAGGTGAAAGGGGCGCAGGCGTCAGCGGGGATGCGGAGCGGAAACGCATTCACCTCTAATGGACTTGGCGATTTTATGATACCAGGAGCTACAGGCGCAGGAGACATTAACACGGGACCTTGCTTGGCGGAGGGTTCTAGGGCTGAGGTTTTTCTGTATAAATGTAGGTTATATTAGTAATTAGCCAACCCAATATAGTCAGCTTTGTCCCACCTGAGACTAACACTAAATGGCTGTTTGATCTTGGCTGCCTGGGTCACTTCTCTAGGTAGCAAGCAGCAAGACAGGCCGTGTGCGGGGAGAACGTGCCCCTTCAGCACCCGGCTGCCGGCGCGTGGCCCTCCTGCGCGGTGAGTGGGTTTGCTTTCTGCTGAGCGCCTCTTCTCTTTCCGCAGGACCGAGCAAAAACAGTAAATGGGAGCAAATGAAGCAAAGAAATGGAGACCAATTTACAGAAACGTGCAATTAGCGAGAAGTGCAAAGTAAACACTCTGGGTCGAGGGTGGCAGCCGAGGCCGACAGCAAGAGAGGGGGCTGCCGACCCGCCGGAGGGGGGAGGGGCGCGTTGCCGAGGGAGGAGGTGGGACGCGGAGACGGAGAAGGGGAGGGGAAAGTGGCCGATCTTTGTCCCGAGCGGAGCTGGCCGCCGCCCGCTCATAACCGCGTCGCCAAGTCGACCCACCGTGACTTGGCAGATTATCTCCGAGGGTCAACACGCCGCGGCCAGGCAACCCCCTCCGGCCCTGCGCTCCTGATCGAAGTAGCCACTCGCGGCTCGGTGATTGGTGATAGCGGCGGGTTCTCTTCGTTCTCTGACTCCAGGAACAATGAACTCTTTGACTCGGGGGCCTGCGGAGATTAGGTGCGCAGGTCCCACAGCTTTTCAATCCCTGCCCCCTGCCCCCAGCAGGTGGTCCTTTTCCCTAAAAAAAAATCCCTGAACTCCCCACCCCCCATCCCGGGCGTCCTGGTAGCTACGCGAATTCCCAGACTCGCGCGGACCACTCGATACAGAGCACACGCCAGTTCTAAGATGACACCAGCATCTAAAAGGTCTCTGCAGAGAAGTCAAATCCCACCTTGGTTTTTGCTTAGTGCACTCAGTCCGTGTGCATTTAAAACAAATATGTCTACCCTGGCCTGCGTGCTCGCTCGGTTGATTGGAGGGTCCGCCTGTAACCAAAGGGGTCGCGGTTCCATCCCCGTCGGGGCACCGCACGAGCCAGAAGATCTCTCTCTCCCCCCCCCCCCCCCCTCTCTCTCCTTCCTCTCTCGACAATCAGTTTTAAAAAACTGTAAAACACAAATATTTTTCACAGGAAAAATGTATTAAAATATACTTGTTAAAGGACTGGGTTAGTTAGCACGTGAGGAAGGTCACGTTGCAGTGATTTTTCTCTTGCTGGCTCCTTGTGCTTCACGCTCCCTCTTGCCTAAGCTTTTCTGCAAAGGTGTCTAGTTTTTCTAAAACCCCACGTTGTGGTTCCAGGAATGTGTTCATTTCGGCAGGACCCAGCCTGAGGCCGCCCAGGACCCACCCTCAGGGCAAAATGATCAGAGGCGGCGGTCAGCAGGGGGTGGGTGCCACGAGAGCGGGAGAGAGATAGTCCGCACCTTCGGGCCGGAAAAAGGCGTCTCTATTTAAGTCAGGACCTCAGAGTGCCCAGAAGCTACCCAACCCATGGAAGCGAAAAGCTGTCGTTGTCATAAAAACGCTTTTATTTCTTTTGTAAACACTGCCCACATCTCCTGGTGCTGTGTCCAGCTGACGGACTCCGCGGGCCCGGATGATCCGGATCCGTGGAGAGCCGTCAAGGGTCTGGAAACTCCGGGCCAACCCCCTGCTCCCGCCTCCCAGCCACAAGAGGGGACGCTACTTCTTGCCCCTGCCACGTTAAGAAATCATTCTGAGTTGATGAAATGAGCCCCAATTTATCAAAATCAAAATTAACAATGCCTAATTATTTTTTAAATTAAAAAGCCACCGTGAATGCTTCAGAAGTTAGTTTATTCTTCAGAAGTTCCACAGCACAGCCACAGATAAAAACATACAACGAATGCTGGATCTGTGTGTGCTAGCTCCTGGAACCCTTGGTGGCTGCGTGCAAAATGCGTAGACAAAATAGAACGAGCTGCGTCCGACCTTTAGAGCTGGGATCTGTAAGCTTTTTTGACCATATCCCCTAACAAGTTTAAGTGTACAACCTCATCATGTAGAAATATATTTACTAATATATTATGTGCATTATCAAACATACAAGGAAAATAGATCGTTTAAAATCTGATGGAACTGCTTCTATAACTGAAGAGACTTCTAAGATTTTCATGTGCGCCCCACTTTGGAGAGAGCTGCCAATTGCGCTGCAGGTGTGTGCAGTACACGCAGCTGAGAGAGAAAATCGAAACAACGGCGGGGCTCGCGGGGACCTGGGCCTCGCTTCTTAAGGCAGTCAGGCCGGCCAATAATGGCCCCAGGCCGAGCCACGTGGGCCACAGCGGAGCCTATGGCGGGGCAGCCGGCCAGCGAGTCCCCGCCAGCAGCGGGTTCTCTCTGAGAGCAGAGCGAAGCTGTCAAAAAGAGTAGGGGTGGCGCCGGGAGTGGGAGAGCTGCACAGCTCCGAGTCCCCGGCTCCAGGTCCCCACTCTGGGTCCTCAAGCCCGGGTGGCAGCCATGAACGGCGAAGAGCAATACTACGCGGCCACGCACCTTTACAAGGACACATGCGCGTTCCAGAGGGGCCCGGCGCCC